CGGTGCGGGGAAGCGGCTGGGGGTGTGTGTCTGCTCCCGGGGGGCTGCGTTTGCCGACCCTTGGGGATGGCTGTAGGCCTGGGCTGCTTCCAACAGCAGCTCCCGCTCGGCTGGGAGAGGGGGAGCATGTATAAAAGCTCATGAGAGGAGAAAAGAATATAAACAGCGGAAGGTACTGAGGGTGAGAAGGAATGCTGTAATACCTGATACGCATAGCACATGCTCAGGCACTTGGTTGTCGTTTTCATTGATGTTTTGTCATTTTCAATGAAGTTCATTAAAGCCACTAAAAGGCGCGTTGAGGAAGACGGGCCTGACCACCATCTGGTCCTTGGTGTGTCAGACTGTGGGTCAGTAAATAGAGCTTCAGCTGTGGCTCTGCCACGGGCTGGGGGATTGACCTTGGGAAACTGCCAGTGCCTCAGCTGCCCTCTCTTTTGAAAGAAGAGAGCTGCACAAGAGCTAGTGCTTCTTGTGTTATCTGATGGCTGTGGGCATATCCTCCCTCTGCATTGCTGAAAGAGCAGAATAATATGATGAAATATAAAGGTGGCGTGTCCCGGAGGATACTGTTGAAGGCACAGCATGGCACAGTGCTTTTCCTCTTTGTGATTTATGAGGTGCGGATGATCGAGTCCTTTCCATTTTTGCTGGTGGAGAAGCTCAGATACAAAGTGAGGGGCTTGAAGTGACTTGTGCGGGCTTACATGGTGTCAGACCTGGCAATCCAGGCTCTCTCAGGCTGGTAGTAAATCCTGAGAGTTTCTGGGACCTCAGGAGAATCCCCACAAACTTTAAGCGAGCAGTCTTCTCAATAAAGTGTCTGTCTGTGGCAGTTCTGAGTCACTAGTTGCTCAGTACTCCAGCTTTCCAGGCACTGTACCAAAAAGGAGTGTAATAGAGCCTGCTGCTTGATCTGTTCAGTGCGCTAATTTAAATGAATTTCTGCTAGACCTGACATCACAAATCTCCGAGCTTTCTGTCTCATTCCACCTCAAATCGGCATGTCTTGCTCATAATGGAATCAGCCTTCTTGTCAGGAGGCACTGAAGTATTTAT